GAGCAGTAACAGATTGATCTGCTGCCTAACAGAGCCTACATCTTTAATCTCTCGGGAAAAAACCCACTGCTACCAATGATCTATTATAGCTATCTGTAAGGTAGGTTTGTTCACAATGACACCATTTGGGATCCATTCTCTTTTCCCGCTGACCTTAAAGTGTTAATGGGACCTTTCTCCCACTGACCAAAAGGGTAAGGGGACCCTACTTCTGATTACAACCATTGTAAGGGGGCACCTTTCCATTGACCACTGACCATAACTGTGAAGAGGCCTTTCTCCAACTTGCCCACAACGTAAGGGGACCCTTCTCCCACTTACAACCAATATATGTGGTCCTTCTCCCACTCAGCACCAATGTAAGGGGGTACTTTTCCACTGGTCACCAATGTAAAGGAACACTACAACTTTCACTTTCTGCTTTTCTTGTCTGGCCAATAAACATTTCATGATTATTACTGAAAATAATATATCAAAAATTGGTTTCCTCAAACACAAGGAAATCAAGGCTAGCCCTTAGCTTTACTGTTTATAATCGAGCCATTGCAGGGAAGCTTAGTTTTTTAAGATTTTAAATGTCAGTATTGTGTTGTTTGTTTATACTTTTCTATAATATTAAAACATTAAGATATAACTACTTTGTTGAAACCACGATTATTATCAGTTATCCAGCTCCACTGTGGGGTTTCCTTGTGTTTGAGGGAACCAATTTTTTATATATTGTTTATGGAAACGCAGGAGCGGTAATTATTTATTCAGTATTAGTAAGTGCAACCCCATTCCCTTGTGTAGTATATTACTGAAAATAGTAGTGCCATATACAGCAGAAGGCGTTAAAATGATCTCTTCTGTTTGTCAAATATTATATAATTTGTTTTACTATAAATGTTTTACTGTAAGGTTAGCTTGGAATAAAATAGGTTAGTTACCCTCAGCATGCTACTAGGATAGGAATTGTAAAGATAAGATTGCACCAGTCCACTGTGTGCCATAGAAGGTGGTAGAGAGGGAAGTCTTATCACAAGCTTGTGTTTTTTTCTTGTCCTGTTAAAGCTGAATAACAGGTTAAAGAAATGCTGCCTAAATACAAGATGCATGCGTATTCAGGGCCGCCGTCAGGGGGGGTACGGCCAACACTCAAGTAAGGGGCCTGTGCAGCCTCAGGGGCCCGCGAACCTTACCTGGGTGACGGCCGTACAGGTGACTGAAGGCGGCCGGGCCCCCGCAGCACCGGAGGAAGCCGGGGCCCGCACACTACACATCGTAACCTCGGGTGCTGTGCGAGCCTCCGGTGTCCCCCCTGTGTCCACTGCACATTAGGTTTTTAAAGATGGCCACCGCGAGTAGCGGCGGCCATCTTTAAACTGGGCAAGTGCCCACATCCCATTTAATATATTGCCAAAACGGCAATGTAGTAAATGAAAATCATTCCCTGGTGGGGAATCAGTATGATCTGCTTCTCTGGCTGATGCAGACCATACTGATGGCTCCCTCGTGGTGCCTCTGCTAACATGCAGGGTGCGATTAGTATGGTCTGCACCAGACAGAGTGCAGAGCACACTGATTATTCACTGAAGCCCAGGGATGCAGCCCCCCTTCCTGCAAAACAGGGAAGCAGGAGAGGGGGACATTATTTAATTAACTATTATTATTATACACTGTTATACTGTTACACACTGTTATATTAACTAACTATTATACACTGTGAGAGTGTGTTTTATTGTGTGTTTTTTAATGAGTGTGTTTATATTTTTTTTTTTTTTTTTAATGAAGCTATGTGTGTGTTTTTTAATGAGTGTGATATGTGTGGGATATGTGTGGGATATGTGTGGGATATGTGTGTGTGTTTTTTTTTTTAAACCATGATTGCTGTTTAAATACAAGCGGTCCGGTGTCTGTATAGACGCCGGATCGCTTGTACAATACGGCGCCGTGTCCCCCTCTGCAGCCGCCGGTGCTGCCGTCAGCTTCCCGGGCTCATCTGCCCCTCGTGTGAGCACGGGACCGGCGTGGAGGGTCTCCCCTGACAGATTGGAGGAGAGATCAGCAGCTTCTAGCCGCGGACCTCTCCTCCAATCACTGGACATCGGAAGTGAGGTGCAGTTCATCACTTCTGGTGTCACTGGGCACATTCTCCAGGCTCCAAGAGCCAGAAGAAGAAGCTGGTGAAGCAGATCTCGTCTTCATCAGCTTCTTTGGGGTCCCTAGGTGACACTAGGGGTCTGAAAGACCCCTGATGTCTCCATAAAGAGGACCTGTCACATTATATTTGCTATTACATAGGGGACTTGTCAGCCCCCTATGCGATAGCAATAAAGCTGAGTGTGAAAAAAAATTGAAAAAAAATTAAAGTAACAAAAAAAATTTAAAAAACATTTTTTTAAGCACTTGAAGTCCGCACTGTTACACCCCCTTCCTGTCCCAGCCATTTTTCAGTATTCAGCGCTGCAGTACTTTGAATGACATTTATTCCGTCATGCAACGCTGTACATTTTTTGGGGAACTCATAGAGCTTTCGTTTGGTGGTGTTTAATATTTACTATATTAAGGAAAAATTACCGATATTTAAAAAAAAAAAAAAAAACTTGTTTCCCTTACAA